ACACACACACACAGACTGGCCTTTATACCTAGCTGTCTTTTTCCACACTTGAGTACCCTTTTTCTATGTCTCTGCTGCCGTTCTTGCTCCTTTTTTCTTCTCTTGTCAGTAATCTCACCCTCCCTCAACTGTGCCATGCTTTTTTTTTATTTGTTGCCTCTGCCCTTCCCTACTTCCAAACTGCGCTCTATCCATTTCCTGTCAGGAAGGTTTAATAGATTGCAGCATCCCCTGTGGCAGGTTGAATAACTTCCCCCTTTCAGTGTGTTCACCCACCTACACACACAGCATGACTACATTTGACATGCAGTATTTAATCAGTTTGTTTGAAGTTCGATTTTTTATGTGTATGTACACAAATTATGTATTGAATAAAATAACCGATATGACCGATAATTGGTTTGACCTTTTTTATTATTCTTTATAAATATTTATGCTTATCTCTTGGTTATTGTTTATTTAATATTGGACATATTGATAAATCACCATTTAGTAGGTCTTTAATGAATAGCACCTAACATCACTACACCTCAATACATTTTTGCATAATTAATTGTATTCCTCTGTACTTATATTTATATATAAAAGTAGGCTACTTATTGTTCTTCAGGAGAGTGTTTTGATGTGCATGTGTGTGTTTTGTCAGGTGTGAACGTGATGCTGCGTAAGATTGCGGTCGCAGCCGCGTCAAAGCCATCCGTGGAGATTACGCAGGACGGAGAAACCCTGTCAATCAAGACCTCCACCTCTGTAAGGACCACCCATGTCACCTTCACAGTTGGACAGGAGTTTAATGAGGCCACTGTGGATGGACGTCCCTGCACGGTACATACACACCCACAGAAAAACACTTCAGTCATCCTAATGTACATTTGTCTGTCTGTGACAAATTTTATTTTTACAAAACATTCAAAAGAGCAAGAACATATGAAATGTGTGTGTTTATGCAATCCTGATCTCTGATGTGGACTCAATCACACCCTCCATCTCAGAGGAGCTATCAAAACTGGAAACACACCCATTCCTTCAACCTCCATCTCTGGATTTCACATTCTCATGGGCACTGATCTGTTTCTCACTCTTTCCATCTCCAAAGAAAAACACTGCCTTCACATATTTGTTTGTCTCTGTTTCTCTCAGAGCTTTCCTTGCTGGGAAACAGACAGCAAGATTAGTTGCGAACAGACTTTGCAGAAGGGTGAGGGTCCAAAAACCTCATGGACCAGGGAGATGACCAATGACGGCGAACTGATTCTGGTAAGATTTATTCCTGCTATTACGTGTTATCCTTATGATTCCTACACACAAGGGTCTTTGATCATATTTTTTCTTCTAATAGTCTTTTTCCTGCTTTTTTTGGCAGACCATGACTGCAGATGATGTGGTGTGCACAAGAGTTTATGTCAGAGAGTGAAAGTATGAGGAAACAGGAAGAATATCCATCCAGATCACTCTCTTTCCTTGTTAACCACAATGACTGTGATTTTATATCATATATTTCCTTTCTCCCTCATCTCTTTTTTCATTTTTTGTTGACAATGTATTTGAATAATACATCAGAGAGCCATGCAAATAATTCATGTGAGGTTCCAGAATTTGTAAAAAATTTAAAATGAACAAATACATCATTTTGGGCTCAAAAGCACTTTTAAGGGTTGGTCTTCACATAGATGAAGACCAGGAAATCTGAAGTTTGGAAACCAGACTTTGGTGAGACAATTCATAATTACCACTGAAAAATATCAGTAAAGGTGCGGTCACATTTGCTATTGTAAATTTTCACAGGTGAAATATAGTAATATCAATAGTTATCTCCATTAATGGGAATTTCGTGTAAGGGTGAAAGATTTCCCCATGCAGATTTCAGAACAGGTGAAACGATTTCTGTGTAAGCTGTGCTTCATACATCACTACTCTAATGACAATAGACAATTTACCTTTTTTGCCTGCAAAATTTCACTAATGTGACCGTAACTTAGTTAGCATAGTAGCATAACATAGTTCGCCCAAAAATGAAAATTCTGTCATCATTTACTCACCCTCATGTCGTTCCAAACCTGTAAGACCCTCATTCATGTTTCATTTTTTTTGATGAAATCCAAGAGCATTCTGACCCTGCATAGACAGCAACACAGCTACCACATTCAAGGCCCAGAAAGGTAGTAAAGACATCATTAAAATAGTCCATGTGACATCAGTGGTTCAACTGTAACGTTATGAAGCTACGAGAATAGTTTTTTGCGCAAAGAAATCAAAAATAACAACTTTATTCAACACATGACGTTATTCAACGACATTAGGGTGAGTAATTAATGACAGAATTTAATTTTTGGGTGAACTATCCTTACTATTAAGAATGTAAGCCTATGTAAAATATGCTGTCAGAAAATGTTATGTTTGTAGTTTAGTCCGTCATTTTTTTTAATCTTCTCAGTTGACCCTTTGCTAAGCTCCGCCATAAACTGTAACTGACCAATCCTACTTTAGCAACTGTTGCCATCCTCCATTTTCTCAGACAGACTTTTGCCCTTTCCAGTGTAACTCTATGGAGGACCTGTGTGCTTCGATAGGTGCTGTGTGTAATTTTTTGACTGTACCAAAGCATAAAATCACCATAATACATTCAGAGGTATTTAGGAAAGTTCACATACCTGTTTCTCCGAAAAACAACCCTACAGCCAGTTATTCTATTTTGAAAATGTGCATTCCATGTCGGAATGTCTGTTTTTTCTTTTGGTTTGTGTGATTCCGCCAGTTTAACCAATAGTATTTCGACACCCCGGGTTGCCAGTTGGTGGAAAACAGCATATTGCAACAACGAAAGGCAGCGAACGAACTGGCTCAGAGATCGCACATTCTACCCGACCTAAAAAGCCTCAACATCAGCTGTAAGACCAGAGGCATATTAAAACGTGGATATTGTCAATTGCGCTCGTTCCTGTTGCGTGTACTCAATCTGACAACCCGTGAGGCAGGAGAAACAATTTTTTGAATTTGGATTGCAGTACCCATTTCAACCACTAGCTGTCAATATTACAGTACATTGCACCTTTAAATTCAGTTTTACTGTATTCAGTTGATTGTGAGATTGAAATCGCCAATTCATTCCTTTGTGAGGCTCTGTATTGTCTGATGTAGCAACAGTTCCAAGGGGGCGGAGCTAAGCAAAGGTTCAGTTGTCATTAGAACCCCATGAAGCTCCAATCCCAGCCTTCTCTTTTCATCTTTATTTTTTGTATATATTTTAATAAAACCTGAATCTGAAGTTTCTTTTCATTATGTTTTTTATACAAACAATTTCAGCAGTCATTACTTATTTCTGTGCATGGACAATAAAGGTTACTGCCAAAATGGTGTGTGCTTTTCTGTCATTCAGTGGCATTTATCCACTCAGAAGCTTACTGGCAGTTCCATGATGCCAATGGAACGAATGTCAGTTGTTTTTATTTCAAAATAAGAAGAAATTAAAGAAACTGCCTTGACCTTTTTAACAAACCCACGCTCCTTCTCACTCTCTTTTCTCACTCAGACACACTGGTAGGTTCACGTCTTATTTTTGTATTTCTGCCAGCTGGCTGTAACTAGAATAACTTGTCTGTCCCTCTCCACCCCTCCGTCTCTCCCTGATTTTTCCATCTCAGTCTTTCTCATCACTATCACCCTCCCTGTAGCTCTGGTTCCTGTCTTTCAGCTCACAGTTTTACAAAACCCTACGCTTTTAATGCACTGATCGTCATTGAAATTAATGGAATGTAAATGTATTTTAACATAAAAATGGATGGAAAACACCCATAAGTCATCAAAGAAATTTCCCCAGTAACCTGATTTTCCACTCAAAACATTAACATTTCTGTTTGCTATGCCGACAGCATATGATGTGCAGAACAGTGTCAACTGTGGGTCATTTATTAGATGCTAAACTAGCCAATGGGATAAAGCTGTTAAATAAAATAGATCCAGGCAAACAAATCAACTGTCCAATCCAGGCAGGAAATGCCAGTCGGATTACAAGGTGAAGATGATTGACAGCAGATGTGCTTAACAAGGAGCAGGGAATGGAAACTCATGGTCAAAATGAAATGAGGACCAACATGCAGTGCACTCATATACATATTCATATACTGTACATATATCTCTCATACACAGTATGCCATCACATCCAGGACATTTAAGAGCGTATATATACAGATTAATAGACTTAATCAAGTGTATTCGCACTTAAAAAGAAAAATAAAGGTAGAGTGGAGGTGATGGTGGAATGTGGAGAGGTTTAGGGGTGATGCCTGCAGCTGTACTTGGTTACTGTGTGACCCTAATAAAACCAACCCCTCTCTACCTCCTGCCCCTATAAAAGACCCCAAATAACTGCCTCTCCTTCCTCCTTTATTACCCCCTGGGGCAGTAAAAGGCAGCTGTCTCTCTCCTTTCGAAAACCACCAGCACATTTGCACACATATGAAACCAAACATGCACATTCTTTCGAACCTTCACATGTACCATCAAACACTTTGGCCACTGTGAGCACAGACCATAAAACCGCACGCATACGCACACTCACACTCACACACACACACACACACACACACACACACACACACACACACACACACACACACACACACACACGCCAGTGCCCACAGCTAGTAATGGGCCCTAATGTGTCAGAAACACTTGCATATTTGGTCATTAACTTCAAAGGAACACTAGCAGATAGTCTAACAGCTCATAAACACACACACACACACACACACACACACACATATGCTGATTTTGACCAGCTATGTGCAGGGCAGGTAAATCTGGAATTGCAATCTCTTCCCAACATCTATTCTGTTTGCTTTGGATTTGGCTGGCAGGCAATTTGACAAGCAGATAAGCATTTATGCAGCAGAACACACACACAAAGCCAATGTTGCAATTACAAACACGAAAATGACATTCACAACTCAGTACTGAAGTAATTAATTCCAAAATCATCTATAGCCAGACTTTCAGTCCTACACCATGAAAATTTCATAATAATATGAATGATCACATTTAAAATTATGGTTTTATCTACAAAAAGTAAATTAAATATAAACAAAATATGTTTTGTGTGAAAATGATTTAATTATTTTTTTAACATTTACAACTGTGATGTTATTTCAACCACACTGAACAATTTTGCCATTAATAATGTTTTTTTTTTATGTTATATTATATTATATTATATTATATTATTAGGCTATATTATATTATATTGTTAAAGCAAAAAATAAAAGTTTAATATATCATTTCAACCACCGTTTTCACCACATAACAGAGAATGAAAATTACATTTATTTGATAAAAAGCAGTATTTTTTAACATAATATTATTTTTTATATATTTTTATATCATATCACAATAAAAACAGTTTTCTAATGTAATATATTTAAAAATGTTACTATTCCAGTGATGGCAAAGCTGAATTTTCCAGTCTTTAGTGTCACATGATCCTTCAGAAATCATTTTAGTATTCTGATTTGGAGCTCAAGAAACGCTTCTTATTACTATGCTGAAAACAGAGTTCTGCTTAATATTTTTTGTGGAAACCATGATGCATTTTATTTCAGGATTCTTTGATGAATAGTCTTTTTGATCAATCAATTCATTTCTTAAAAAAATAAAATGATAGATAGATGATAGATAGATAGATAGACAGACAGACAGACAGACAGACAGACAGACAGATAGATAGATAGATAGATAGATAGATAGATAGATAGATCTTACTGACTCCAATCCCAAATGGTATTTCCATTCCACAAAAAAATTCCTAAAACCCACTAGTTTCCCTTACCAACACTGATGTTGTTAGTAACAATCCTTTAAAACTGACTCTAATTTCTTATCTCACATTTTATGGAAGAAAGATTTGTAGCTGTGAATAATTTTGTGCGTGGCATAGACAAATCACTCATGGGATGGGCTGGCTGTCATACAAAGGCAGATCTTAATCTTCGTTATTGAAAGATAACAGATATATCAGATCCATGTTAAATCTGACAGCACAGTGTG